GACCATTGTGTCTTCTACTATCCATGGATGCATCTAGTTATTGTGGGAACTATCAGCTTTATGATATTTCTGTGCAAACACTCCTAAAATATTTTTGTAATGTTTTACCTTTATATATTCTCAAGCCACCTTCATTATCTTGACATATGTTTAAATAATTATAGAAGATGTAAATTGTTGATGTGTTGAAAATAATTGCAATAAATTGTAAAACACTATACTGATAAATACTTACTATCATGCATTTAAAAATTATATGAATAGGGCCTGGGAAGGTGGCTCAGTAGTAGAGTGCTTACCTTGCATGCCTGAGGCTCTGGGTTCGATTCCTCAGCACCACAAAAACAGAAGAAGCCAGAAGTGGTGCTGGGGCTCAAATGGTAGAGCACTTGCCTTGAGCTGAAGAGCTGAGGAACAGCGCCAAGACCGAGTTCAGGCCCCACAACTGACTTAAAAAAAATTATATGAATAGCTTAATCTCGAAGATAGAAATTATACATTGCTCCTTTCCCTACCTAAACTTGTGGGGTTTTCCTCACTTCCCCACAGAATTTGATGCTAATGTATTTTATGCATAGCAAGTCTTTATTGTTCACCTTATCATATGTCTCTGTAACAAATATGATCATGTAAATTGAAATTATATGCATTTTTATATTTCATGGGATGAACAAATCCTTTTTCCCCATTTTCTCAAGGGTTAATATGTTAGAATGAGTCAGGGGTCAACCTTGATTTCTCATCTGGTTTTCATTTCTATAAATGGAAGCATTAGGCCTCTGGTTCATTGCTTATAGCTACACCAACAATAATAATTTTAATTGCCCTTTCAGCCCCCACATGGTTTTTACAACCTGGAGTAATGCACTGGATGTGATGGCTTTCCTTTGTCGTGTGGGAAAAGGATATTTTGAGAAGATTAGCAAGCAGACAACTTGCTAGATCAATTTCAGGACAGGGAACATAAAATAAAGATCTTGATGATGCGTCCCTTAAACTTGCACAGTCTTGGAAAGCAATTGTCCTAATTAGAGGAGCATTGATTCACATCACACAACTAATTCCTCTGACAGTGTTTCCTGGTTGTAAGAACTGATTATAATGTCACTTGAATTTCCTTGGGCTTGTGTGTAACATACAGGTCATGTTGTCAGTAATAACTTAAATGGCACGTAATTTGTCTCTACCTGCTGACTTGCCATTATTTGGCAAATACCTCTAAGTCTCTAAGTCTCCCCCACTAATCCCAAGCACATCTTTGGACACCAGCACCAATACAATGTGTTTGAATTTCTCAGGCTTTCTTTTTTTTTGAGGGGGGGGAGGGCCAGTCGTGGGGCCTGAACTCGGCCTGGGCGCTGTCCCTCAGCTCTTCAGCTCAAGGCGAGCGTTCTACCACTTGAGCCACAGCGCCACTTCTGGCTTTTTTTCTTTTTGGCTTATGTGGTGCTGAGGAATCGAGCCCAGGGCCTCAGGCATGCAAGGCAAGTGCTCTACCACTAAGCCACCTTCCCAGCCCCTTCTCAGGCTTTCTAATAATAAATGTGGACTGGCAATGGGTTCAATGCCAAGAAAATTTGTGGAGGCAAAAAAGTATACTACCATTTTTCCAAGTAAGTGCCCTAGAATATCACTATCATGAAACTTTTGCAAGAGTGTTGTATACATTTAAAATAATTTCTTATTATGAAATATTTGATGTATATAGAATAATGTATGTATGTATAAATAGTGTATGTAAATATGGAAGTTACCAGGTAAGCATTAAAGAAGACCTGTGAAGACAGCACTCACATAGATATTAAAAGGTGACTATTAAGTAGCTTTATATCTGCAGACTCCATCTGTATCCCAGCCTCCTGCCTTCCCCTAGAGATGGCCACTAGATTAAATTTTGTCTTAAACATTGTGTTAGCTTTCTGTCTCTGTGACAAAATACTGGAGGAAAACAACTTAAAAAAGGAAAGATTTTTTTGGCTCATGTTTCAGAGGTTTTAATTCAAGTCATCTGCTTCTATTGCTTTCAGCCCCTAGGCCCACAGCAAGGCACAAACATCATAGGGAGAAAGGGCACTATCATTGGGATTTATTGTCCTATAAAACATCTACTAGACCATTTGACTATTTCCAGTTGGATTTTTTATGGATTGTAGGATTGTTCTTGTTTGATTCTGAGGATAGAACTACTCCCTTATGCATGGTAGGCAAATGCTCTACCAATGAGCTAACATTCCAGCTCTTTTTAACTTAGGGTTGCCTAAGTAGCTCAGGCTAACCTAAAACTTGCCATTGTCCCACATCTGGCCCTCAAGTAGCTGGGATGACAGGAGTGCACCACCACCACACATGTACTGTAGATATCATTTGTCAGTGACAGGTGATATGTCTTGAATATACCCCAATCTGTGTCTGAGTTCTGCAGTGTTGATGGAGTTGCTTTCAGCACTGATACGTTCTTGCTATGCTAGCTGTGGCTTATGTTTCTGTGCGATAAACAGTTTACAAAGCACCCTTGCAAATCTTATCGAGTCTCTCAACAACTTTTAAAAGACAGGATGGGTATTATTATTTTTGTTTTATAGATAAGGAAACTGAGCCGCTTGCCCAAGGTTGTAAGTCCTTGAACTGCATTCCATGTCTTCCTTATGATTATATGATGCTTCAGCTCTTCTTAGATTATGTCTTATTCATTTAAGAAAATACCACTGCTTAGCATCTTACTGTCCTTCTTTCTGTTTCTTTTCTCCTGTGGGCCTGTCTTTTGTGGTGGTGTTTTGTATGTTTTTTTCTTTAATTTTGTTTTGGAGACACTGGAGTTTGAACTCAGGATCTTGTACTTGGTGGCACATACTCTATCACCTGAACTATACCTCTAGTCCCCTTTTTCTTTTTAGTTTATTTCTTAAATAGGGCCTATACTTTCACTTTGGACAGTGATCCTCCTACCTATGTTTCCTGTGTAGCTAGAATTACAGATACTCACCATGGTGCCTGTTTTTGTTTGTTGAGACAGGGCCTCACTAACTTTGAGGAGGCAGGGGCTAGTCTTAAATTTTGATCCTCCCAATATCTACATCCTGAATAGCTGAGATTGTAGGCTTGCACCACTGTGCTATATTCAAAATATAGCTCAAATTCAAGAAGTTCATTATATTATCTGTAGGATGATTAGGTGAGTGAAGACAGATACAAAAGCATATCCTATTTGGCTATCTTTGTGAGAGTATATGGATATTAGAAACCACAAGAGTTTCCTATACTGTAATGAATCACATTAAAAAAATGATGAGCTTTAACCTTTCAGTATTTGATGGTTGATTCTATGTGTGTATGTAGGCTGGTCCTGGGGCTTGAATTCAGGCCGTAGGCTCTGTCCCTGAGCTTTGTTTTATGCTCTACCACTTGAGCCACAGCTTCATTATGGATTTTTTTGCTGGTTAACTGGAGATAAGAGTCTCATAGATTTTCCTGTCCAAGCTGGCTTGGCAATCTCAGTCTCCTGAGTAGCTAGAATTACAGGTGTGAGCCATTGGTGTCTGGCTTGATTCTATTTTTATATACATTACAAGTACCAAAGAACTATGCTTGATGAAACTAGCAGTAACAAGAAAGGACCTGAGGGTAAATATGGAAATAGAAGTCTTACTCTGAAGTATTTTAATCACTACATAGCTTAAGTACTTCTAGGACACAGAACTCAATGAATAAGAGAAAAACCCACATTCTATTTTCTCTAAAGAGAAAAGACTTTAACAGCAACTGCTTATATTCTACAGATAATTACTAAATATGCTATTTCCTAAATCACTTTCTTGTTAGTATGATAAATACATCTACAATAGTTGCCTAGTTTTTTCTCATCAAATACTTTAATATCAGATTGGTAGCCTGTCTCTCCCCCCCACCCCCTTTTCAAGAAATGCTGTCTTCCACATGTATTTTGATCTAAGTCTGGGAGCTGTGTGTGTTATATGATAAATACTGTGTGTCTGATAATGAGCTCTCTGTATGTATTTCTTTAATGAGTAAGGTATTATAATAGGCTCATGCAGCTCACATTAACAGAAGATAATTACACCACAACAGCAATAGCACAGGAGGTAGGCACTGGGGAAGGCGAATCTAATGACGATGGAATTCAGTCCTGTGTTTTCAGAGGACCACAAGCTCTGTCTTGGTAATTTTGAGTCTACATACATTAAAGTTGTGTGCAAGGCTGTGGGTCATTAGGAATGGCTTATATAAGACTAATGACTAATATAAGAGGACAGTCTTTCCTAACTGGACATCTTTTGGTATCACTTGGTCCTAAGCATCTCAAAGAGGGAAATTATCTATCTGAAAGGAAGAGCACTCATATTTTTAAAAAGTACCTGGTCAAACCAACCGCTTAGAAAGGCCTATGTGGATCCTATGGCCCTGTCATTTTAAATCCACTTTGTGTAGGACAAGTAAAAGATGAGTGTGATCTTGGGACAGCAGGCCCAAGTGCATACAAATTAGGGTTACCCAATTCACATCAGGATGAAGTGAGACCCCTTGGGCGCCTGCGTCCATCCCAGAGTGATCTGTGGGGTCCAGGTGCCGCAGCTTCTGTGGTGTCAGAACCCTAACACTTTGGATGATCTCACACAGGATACAAGCAAAAGGATGCTAACGCAAACACCCTCTCCACTACCAGGAGCCCTGAAGGCCACAGGTTGCTTGCTCACGCTCCATCTCGTGGCCCCGCCCCCACAGCAGGCCCCGCCCCCGAGCCTTTAAGCCCGGGAGTAGCCGGCTTCCCGCAGGGTCGACCCTGAGAACTCGGGTCTCCAGACCCAATCTGGCGGGGCCGCGGGACGCGCCCACTGCGCGTGCGCGCGGCGGTCTGGCCGCCACCCCCGCTGCGGGCACTTGGTACTGCCGGGCGGTTGGCGTCCTCCGCGTGTGCAGCCCGGGGCGGGCTTTTCAAATCTTCCCTCCGGAGGGGAGTCGACCGGCGGGCCGTGGCGCCGGGCATGGAGGGGCCGGCGCTCCGGGGCCCCGCGCGCGGCCTGGCGGGGCTCGCGGCTCAGCAGGTGAGTGCCCGGGGCGGCCTGGCACCGCGGCGCGGGCCCGGCTTGCCTCTCCGGCCCTCGGCCCGCGCGCGGTGTGGGCGTCGGGAAAGCGGCCCCGGGGCCCCGCGGGCCGGGGACAAAGGGAGGCGCCCCGAGACCCGCACCCCGGGGCCGCGGCCGGGCCTGGCCAGGGTGCACCCGAGCTTCTCCGCCAGGAAAGGGCGGCCGGGCGTGGGGGAGCGACGGTGCTGCCCCGCCCACCTGTCTGTCCGTCCGTCCATCCGTCCGTCGGTCCGTCTGCCCGTCTGTCTGTCTGTCCGTCTGTCCGTCCGTCTGTCTGTCTGTCCGTCCTTCCGCCCGTCTGTCTTTCTGTCTGTCCGTCCGTCCGTCTGCCGTCTGTCTGTCTGTCCGTCCGTCTGTCTGTCTGTCCGTCCGTCCTTCCGCCCGTCTGTCTTTCTGTCTGTCCGTCTGTCTGTCTGTCCGTCCGTCTGTCCGTCCGTCCTTCCGCCCGTCTGTCTTTCTGTCTGTCCGTCTGTCTGTCTGTCCGTCCGTCTGTCCGTCTGTCCGTCTGTCTTTCATTTAATCTGCTCACTTTTAAGTATATTTAAGGAGTGGTGCAAAGGGGTTTCATCTCCACACGGCAGTTTACGAGTTCGGTGCGTCTGGATCCAGGTCTCCCCTTTCCCCCCTTCTCCCTAATCTCTCCCCTCCATCCCCTCACCTTTCTTCCTTCTCCGCTGGTGCCCTTGGTGTCCTGGACCGTGTAGGTGATGCACCGGGCGCAGATGCCCCTGGGTGGCCATCCAGACCCCTGAAGGGCAGTTTGGGCTTGGCTGTGGAGTTAATAGAAAGCGTATAGGTGAGGCGTGTTGTCTGCCTCCGACGTGAGCTGCGGGGGGGCGGGCAGCAGCCTCGGAGAAGCCCAGTGCCCACCCCTGAGCTTTAAGAGAAGTTGGGGAGGTGGGGAGGGGCAGGGATGGTAGGGGAGAAACAAAGGAGGAGGAGGTAACAAGTGTGCTCATTACCTTACTGGTGGAACTGTAACCCCTCTGTACAGCATCTTTACAATAAAAAAATATGTACTAAAAAAAAAAAAGTTGAGCTTGCTAGTGGTTTTGGTGTTTGTTTTTTGTTTTTTCCCCCATAAATACTTAGAAGGGAAAGTCGGAGGACACGGAATTGGATAGAACTTTGGTGTTTGTTTTTTTTAAATGTTATAGGCCATATGCGAAAATAATTTTATATTTTATTTATTTCTTTATTTAGTCAGCCCTGGGGCTTGAACTCTGGGCCTGGACATTAGTTCCTGAGACATTAGTTCAGCTCAAGGCTAGTGTTCTATCGCTTGAGCCACCATGCCACTCCGGTTTTCTGGTGGTTTATTGGGGATCAGAGTCTCATGGATTTTTCTGCCCCAGCTGGCTTTGAACCATGATCCTCAGATCTCAGCCTCCTGAGGAGCTAGGATGACAGACCTGAGCCACTAGTGCCCGGCTATATTTTATTATCTTTAAGTAGTTGTACAAAAGGGTTTTAATTTAACATGTGTAGAGTGTATCTTAATCAATGTTACCCTTTCACTATTCTCCCCCATCTCTCCCAACCCCACCAATCCCCTCAACTTTCCTAGTTGTCAAGTGTGTTAGAACCCTTTTTCCTTAATATAAGTCATTATTATTTCTTGGTGATATCTTCATTTGAATATACTTATGTGCTTAGCCTTAATTTTAGGGTCTCAATGGAAAACTCTGCCCTTTAGCTGCATATTTATTCCGTTCTATTTTAATCTTTACTCTCTAGTATATATTCCAGACTTTTATCTGCACATAACCAATTCTTAAAATACACGAATTTCTTTTTTTTTATTGTGAAAATACTGTACAGAGGGGTTACAATTACATGGGCAAGATAATGAGTACATTTCTTATCAAGCATTGTAGCCTCCTCCTTTGATTCCCCTTCCCATCCCATCCTCCTCCCACCCCCCCCTCCCATCCAACCCTCCTCCCCCACCCCACCAAAGTTGTAAAGTTCATTTTCAACATAACAACTTGTACCTCTCATTGTTGCAATGGGTCCACCTGTATTTAAACGATTTGTTTTTTCCCTTCCCCTTCACAAATGATAACAACATCAAATACAGTGAAAGCAGGGGTTATACTGTGGGGAGAAAACTCAACTTATACTGTATGTATTTTTCTGCAATTTTTCTTTTCATCTTTATCTTGGTCTTTTAGTTAACCTGGGTTAACTGATTGTGGGTGAGTGATAATTTCTATCAGGATTGCTTCTGAGATACTTTTTTTCTGTTTTGTCTTATCAACAACTAACTTCAGTTTTTATATCAACAATGGACTGTTTTCTTTGTCCTTTCCATGTGCCATTCTAGCTCTCAAAACCTATGAGAGCTCTTTTTCTAAAGTAAACTACATTACTTTTTTTTTTTTTTGGTCAGTCGTGGGGCTTGAACTCTGGGCCTGAACGCTGTCCCTGAGCTCTTCAGCTCAAGGCTAGTGCTCTACCATTTGAGCCACAGTGCCACTTCCAGTTTTCTGGTGGTTTATTGGAGATGAGAGTTTCATGGACTTTCCTGCCCTGCCTGGGCTGGCTTTGAACTACGATCCTCTGATCTAACCTCATGAGTAGCTAGGATTACAGGCAGGAGCCACTCATGCCCCAGTTACTTTTATCTGCCAGTTTACAAGATCAGAATCTAAACTTGTATTTGACTTGATTATATGGAAGCTATTGTCCAGAGCATTGAATCAGGAATAAAAAAAAGAATGTCTTGATAAAATTGTCGGTTCTTAGAAACTTTCAAGCAAACACTTCTAAGAAAAATGCATACAGGACCATACTTATATCACTGGTTGTAAAGAGCCTTGACTCTACCTGGCTATGTCTTATGGCTAAGGCAACAACAGTGATGATATTAACTGCCATTGAGGTTACCATTTTTTGCCCAGTGGGTGCCTTGATTTCACGATCATTATTCCTCACTGTGTGTATGTCACTAAACACCAATTCCTCCTCCGCAGCACTGTATGTCCTTGTTAACTAAAAACAAGTCCTTTAGCTCCATAAACTCTCTCTTGACTATAGCTAATCAGAGAGGCTTTCTTCTACTGGTAAAAGCAGCTGTTTATGGAAAGAAATTACATGAAAGACTCCAGATGAGTCAGAGACGAAAGAGAGCCATAGGAGTACATATGATTGAATTGTACCATATATATACATGTTTAAAATGTCACAATGAAACCTTTTGTAAAATAAATAATGAAACTAGTTGCAATAAACTTACTATTATTACTTTTTATTATTAACTGAATACATTCAAAGTATACTTTACAGTTGATCCTGGGAAGGCTGGCAGCCTTCCTAGATCACAGCTTACTAAGCCTGAAACCTGCCTCAGCAAGCAGGGTCCAAGATTACGTTGTATCTTAATTGGAGTGGGTAAACAGCCATACAGAAAAAAAATTCAGCTTTGCATGGAACTGTCTGTGGGGTACTATCTGTTGATATTGCCTAACTCTACCATTGTAGCTTGAAAGCAGCCATAGATGTTAATAATGGGTGTGGACATGTTCCAAAACAGCTATATTTACAAAATCAGATGCCAACCAGGCTGTAGTTTGCTAACTGGTACTCTAAAAGATAAAAGTGTAATAGAAATGTCTGCTAAATGTATCTTATTTCCCTAATGACTATTAACACATACATTTTATCTTTTGAGCCCTGACTTTACATTTTATTTTTTCTACTATTTTCCTGAACCTCTATAATTGTATGGAGTCTTTTTCAATCAGTGATAGGGAGAGAACAATCTTAATTGCGAGTTTGGAAACCCTAGAAAACTGATTCCTCAAAGTGACCGTGGCCACCTGCTGGCTCCTTAAGGTTGTTGCAACTTTAATAATTTTCTGTAGAATTTCACATTAGAATGTCTCTAATGTCAGACTTTAAACTAATTAGAAGAACTTAAACAACAAACAAAACACCTCTGATCCTATCTCCATATCTCCAGAGATCATCATTAGTTTGGATTAGGTTTAGGTCAACAGTCTTAGCTGGTTATCAGTGACCACGAGATTGTGGTTCAAAGCCACCCTTGGCCGGGCAGGAAAGTCTGTGAAACTCTTATCTCCAATAAACCACTCAAAAAACCGGAAGTGGCGCAGTGGCTCAAGTGGTAGAGGGCTAGCCTTGAGCTGAAGAGCTGAGGGACAGCATTCAGGCTCAGTTCAAACCCCTTGACCGACCAAAAAACAACAACAACAACAAAAACCCAAAAAACAGTCATATACTTTTTAGAAGGACCATTCTTCTGCCTCAGAAGATTCTAAAGCAGTGTAGGCTTTGAGAACCACTGTGTACTCACTCAACTGGCTATATTTAAAAAGCAAAGTTGAATTTAGTGGCACCAGATGGTATTTATTTATATTTGAGTTGTGAGGCAAAGCTATTCATACCAGCTTCAAGTTGACCCCTGTGCATACTCTTCAAATACCAGCCAGGCTGCCAGAGTTTACATCTGCTGACATATGGGTCACATAGATAATTCTTGTAATTAATTGCTAATTACTTTAAAGAAGAATTTACTTGGACTGGCAAGTCATAAAATGATAAAATGCAATTGTTGAAACCTAGTCATGTGTAAAGAAGGAAAACTAGTAAATTGACTACATTTATATAGTACACCAGTTTTGATAATTCAAAACTTATAGCAATATAAGAGACAGTTTTTATGGGGTGATTACATAATGTAATTACAGAAGGTAATTAAACAGATCTGATTGCTGCATGTGAATAGTGTAGTTCAATAGTTAAGTTAAATAATCTGTGCTTTCCTTTTTTGGAGGGTAATCTGTCAGCTTGCCTTTTGTCTACTTTAAAAATTCTTTTAATATTTGGAACTTTGCTATTCAATTCCATTTACATTTTTTAATTTGTATTTTGATAAAATGAGAATGTAATGGTGTGCATTTTTTTTTATCACAGAAGCCAGGTTGGTCATTTAACTTTTAGAAATAGGCACACTGGAATCATTGTTCAATCCTTGTATAGTAAAGAGTTATATTTACAATGTAAATGTTTATAATGTTTATAAGGTTATTGTGAAAAATGAAGACTGTACATTCTGTTTGTAGAATTTTGATGTTACAAATAAAACTTGTATATGGAATCAACCATTACAAGATCATTAAATGGAAAAGACTTTCAGAACTAAACTACTTAGCTGTTTCTGGATGCATCTTACAACTAAAAAAAGAAAACATATCCTGAGTCTGTGTTCTAAAACTCTGTTCATGCCTGTGGTATGTTCTAAGCACAGATTTTTTTCCCCCCTAAAGAACAACTTTTAATCAGTATTAAAAGCTTATATTTTATTTACATTGTTTAACATGTTGCTGATCTTTGGTTCATTTATTCAACATCTGTTCTTTCAGAAGGGTTTTCCTTGGTAAATTCAGTCCCCTTAGCTATATCTTATCATCCTATAATGTAACTTGTCTAATATGTACTATTGCTCACATTATTGTGTTTCTTAAGGCTGTCATAACAAATGACCAACACTAGGTGGCTTAAAAAGGGAATTTTGTTCTATCAAAATTCTAGAGTTTGTAAGTCTGATATCAAGATACTGGGAGAGCCATGCTCCCACTCATGTCTGTGGGAGAATCCTCCCTTGCCTTTTTCACCTCTGGTTGTTGTCATCAATACTTTGGCTTCTGTCTTCCCATAACATTCTCTGTGTCTGACTTCATCGGATCATTTTATAAGGACACTGTCTTTGGATTTGGGACCCGTTTCTAATCCAGTATGATTTCATATTAATTAATAACATCTTTAAAGCCTATATCCAACTAAGGTTTTATTCTGAGGCTATCTACATGCATTTGGGGGCTACTATTTAACTAGTATGTTATGGTAAGAGCACGTAATGGTTTTTACCTTTTTGTTCTGTTTATCCAGGCTTCCTAGTAGTAAAAGAAGTTAACGTTTTACAAAGAGCTTTTAAAATAGCTCTATTTTTATATTATCCATTATTAAAACTTTCATTTCTTTCCCAATAAGGTACAAGTGAATGATAGCTAGTACATTTTCCATCTGTTGGGAGTAAAAAGGATAGATTGTAATTTGGGGGTCTTGCTAACTATTTAAAATTCTCTTCTCTTTGTTTTAGCACTGCAGCATTCAAGAAAAAATAGACTTAGAAATTCGAATGCGAGAAGGAATATGGAAACTCCTTTCTCTGAGCACTCAAAAGGACCAAGTGTTACTTGCAGTTAAGAACCTTATGGTGTGCAATTCCCGAATAATGGCTTACACTTCGGAGCTGCGGAAATTAGAAGAGAGGATTGCCAATCAAACTGGAAGATGGTTAGTAGCATAGTTTACCTGTAACTTTTAACGTACTTAAATATTTGAGTTGAAAACAGGAAGTGACGTTAGTGTAAATAATACAAATACCACATCACAAATCTTTTTAAAAAGTCACTCTGAAGCAGCAGTGGGCGTCATTTTGAAAGCAGACTAAAGGATGAACTAAGCATAAAGTAGTAACTTTCATGGGACAATTGGTTGTGTTCAACATGTGACTATACAATAAAAGTAGTTGAGAAGCGTATAATTCAAGAGATACAATATTTCAAGAAGAAAGACTGATAGATAAGGATATGAAAATAAAATTTAGGGGCTGGGAAGGTGGCTCAGTGGTAGAGCGCTTGCCTTGCATGCCTGAGGCCCTGGGTTTCATTCCTTAGCACCACATAAGCAAAAAGAAAAAAGCCGGAAGTGACACTGTGGTTCAAGTGGTAGAGCGCTAGGCTTGAGTTGAAGAGCTGAGGGACAGTGCCCAGGCCCAGAGTTCAGGCCCCACGACCGGACCCCCCCCCAAAAAGAAAAACCAGAAAATAAAATTTAAAAGGTTATTAAAAAGGTACTAGCTAAGAGTAATAGAGACTTTGAATGTAGAAATTGAAATGAATGGGCATCAGATTATAAAGATATAAAAGCTTATGAACAGAGAAACTTTAAAGTCTGCCAGCACATCTACTCATATAGTAATCATCAATGCTAGAGGAGCAAAAATCAGTTAAGGACATGTAACTAGCTAGTGACAGAAGCTAAGGAGAGAGGCTAAGGAGCCCTGCATTCTTTCCATCACTCCAGGTTGCCCTCTTGGATTAGATGTATGAGTTGTATATGGGAATATATCCTATCCTATTTATAGTTTATAGTGTCAGATTTTAGTTAGACCTAAGAATCAGCTCAATTTAGTAGCTAGAGTTTGGTGTCCTTTTAGTATAATTTTATATCCTCCTTATAGTATGCTCCTTATTGTTTATGTTTCAATAAGCAAAAAATAGCCAGCTAGGTTTATGTATAATTTATAGGAAAGTCAGACTGATGCCAAAAAGTAAATATAGAAAATTTTCTAGATTGAGTAGATGTTAGGGACCAGTTCACAGATTGAATTAATTTTCTAGGGTTTTGACTAAAAAACCAGACTGTTTCCCTCCCTATTTTCCTGCATAACTCTCTTTAAAGACTATTCTGTCAGTCCACTTCTCAAAAGACATATAATAGTCATCGTTTACTGAAATTCCATTCTGTAGATAAGATAAGCCTTCTAGGATCTTAGTGGTCTAATTCAAAACTACTTTCATAGTCTTACTGCTCAATTTCTGCTCTACCAATTTATTGCAAACAAAAAGCTGTTTGATTTGTATTCCCAGAACACTTCTTGAATTTTCTTGTCTCTAGGGCCTTTTACTTAATTGAAGTGCCCTGTCTCCCATTCCCACTTGACAAAACCCTTGTGTTCTAAGACAATTGTAGCATCAGTTTTCTTTGTAATTCCCTCAAGGAAAGTGGTGATTTTGGTGTTGCAGAGGAAGGATCATGTGAGGACTCAAAAAATGAATTCCTTCCTCCTAATTCTAATAGCATCTGGTTTGTGAATAGCTCACTATACCTTACTGCATTCTAAGAGCACATGTAAACACATATTTTCAATTAGATTATGAACTTTTGGGAAAATGGAACAATGTCTTGTTCTGATTGGTGAGGTAGAGATATCACTTCTTCCTTCATAGGCTTGCAACTTATAGCTAAGGCAACTCATCTGATGCTGGTTTTCTTCCTTCTTGTTTGGGTACTGAGGAATACCTGGCACTGCTGTATGTGTATGCCCAAAGTCATATGCTGCTGCCTCACTTTCAAATGTACAATGAGCCATAGGGCTTAGAACTAATTTACTAACAGTTAATTGTATTCTAGTAACTCTTTCATTATCATGCCCATCCATGTTCTTAGAGTCTTCACTGTCTTGTTGGTCCAAACATTAGGTTCCAGCCTGTCATTTAGCTCTCATTTTTTCTTTTTTGGTCAGTCATGGGGCTTGAACTCTGGGCTTGGGCGCTGTCCCTGCAATTCTTCAGCTGAAAGCAAGTGCTCTACCGCTTGAGCCACAGCTACACTTCTGGTTTTATATTGGAGATAAGAGTCTCACGGACTTTCCTACCCCGGCTGGCTTTGAACCGCGATCCTCAGATCTCAGCCTCCTGAGTAGCTAGGATTACAGGCATGAGCCTTTGATGCCCAGCTCTTGTTCATTTTTTTAAACTACTTTTTTCTTTTGAAATGTGTCATATACTAAAAAAAAAAATGTAAATTCACCTTGCTTGACCAGTTAGTAGTTTGCAATATACGTTCATCCATTCTTTCCCTCTTTTTCTGCTCACACACAAATTTTTTCATCATTTGAAAGTAAGAGACAAGCCACACAGGAATGTATGCCTTGATAGTTGGCATATATCTTCCAAAAACGACATGCTTCCCTATAATCAAAATATGGTCATAAATGTGAAATATTAGAGGCTGGGAAGGTGGCTCAGTGGTAGAGTGCTTGTCTTGCATGCATGAGGCCATGGGTTCCATTCCTCAGCACCACATAAGCAGAAAAAGCTGGAAGTGGCGCTGTGGCTCAAGTGGTAGAGTGCTAGTCTTGAGCTGAAGAGCTGAGGGACAGTGCCCAGGCCCACGGTTCAGGCCCCACAACTGACCAAAACAATAAAGTGAAATATTAGCCATAATTTCATCAGAACCATCTACTACTCATATATCAACTTTTATCCAGCAAATCATTTCTAGGGTTTCTTTTTGCCCTCAAGCTAGAACTCTTATTAAGATTTGTGCAGCACATTTGGTTATTTCTCTTTGGCTTGTTTTAATTACTGTACCTTTTTCTAATAGCCCTTAGTAATCTCAGAAGTGTGCAGTCTAAAAAACATCCTTTAAAAATGCACAGCAGTCTACATTTGTCTAATTGTCTCTTTAAGGTAACATTGAACTTTTTACATTTTCTGTTTTTGCTGTAGCTCTAAAGACTTGATCAGCCTCAATTAAATATTTTTTGTAAGAATCATTCTAGGTATGTTTGAATACTATGTGTACTTCTAATTGATGCATTATGGTATGATAAAGGATGATGATCCTTTGATTTATCTTATTTATGGTAGTGCTGTGGATGGAACTCAGAGCCTTGTATGTGTTAGCTAAGTAGTCTTCCACTGAGCTACATCGCCAAACCCCTAATTCCTTAGTTTAGATGGCAGCTTCCTTTTTTCATGATAGAATCATTTTCTGTTTCCATTTTGTAAGTAAATCTTGGTATGTTAGGACTGGTGAATATTCTATTATCCAAAGAGCTTTAACTTAATGGCTTTATCATCCATTTATGATTCTTTCCCAAGTCGTTGTTAGTGGGATTTGTAAAATAGCAATTGTTCTGTTACTGTTTTTATACTTCATTGGCTGATCCTCCTCTGTAAAGAAGAAAATCATAGAAAAATCTATGAATATGATTTTTATTTATCCAGTGTATTGTTAGCATTAATCTTTTCAATAATAAAATTGTCCCAAATTTGTTCAGTGGGAGTTTCTTTAAAATAGCTTGTTTGTTCTTTTGACATTCCTGAATTAATCTTTAAGAACTCATTTGCTTTCTGACTCACACACCAAAAAAAAAAGCCCCTCAGGTTTGTCTGTTTATTTTTCCCTACTCCAGGCATTGGTTAGACATTTTTCTGAGTTCTCATTCATGCTAGTGGTGATCAAGGTCCTGAGGTATTCCTAGTCTATGCCTTTCAATGGACATAGCTATGAAAATGACTTAAATCATGAATTTATATGGATCCTTATAGGCCTCTATTTTCTGGATTATGTTTGCTTGTATTCATACCTCTTTTCCCTTACACTGAAAATCTTAATTTTCAGTAATAATATATTTCCTTATTTTATATTATGACTGTATAAAATTGTTTCATATTACATAACCAATTTTATTGACAAATCTATCTTGATTCATTCAAGATTTTTTGAAGTTCTTTTCCAACATAAAGAAATTATTGTGAAATTTACCAACAAAGTAGTAGAAAGAATTACATGGCAAGTACCTATGTATCTACCATCTAGAATCTATAATTAGTCTTTTGTGGTATTTACTATAATCCTCTATCACCCATCCCATTGATTTATCTTTTTTTATATTCTGTGTGTTTTCACACACACAAAGGCACAGACACAGATACACGTACTTCTGTGGATATAGACCAGAGAACTTTATTCAGAAATTATCTGATGTCACATGCCTATAACTTCACAACTTGTGAGGCTGAGGCAGGAAGCATGTAAATTCAAAGCTAGTCTGGGCTACATGGCAAGATCTTCTGTCTCAAAAAGAAAAAGAAATAGATTTTGAATTTTTTTCTCTATGTTTATGTTATACATTTCATAAACTTAAGTTTCTTCTTTAGGAGAAAGTCAGTTGCCAGAAAATTCCTTAATATGAGTATAGTTTTCTTCATATTTTTGTATGCTTAAAATGTTTTTCTTTAGTGTTGCTATTTAAAAGACAACTGGTCTAGTTGTCCCTTATAACACAGTTATTACATAACAATTGTCACAATAATTGTGAAAGAAATTATACTACTATATAATTGAATTATATTATAATAATTCTATGAAGTTATATTGAATTATATAAGAATTATATTGTTACTATTCTTATTATATAACAATTATAAAACACTTTCTTTCCTGAGTTCCTTAAAAACCTTGTTGTCATTACTTTAAAAATCTAATATTCAGGCTGGGCACTGATGGCTCAAACCTATAATCCTTGATACTCAGAAGTTTGAAACTTGAGGATCCTGGTTCAAAGCCAGCCTAGGCAGCACAATCAATCTATAAGACTCTTATCTCTAAACAACTACCCAAAAAAATGGAGCTGTGGATCAAGTGGTAGAGCACTAGCCTTTGGCAAAAGAAAAGAAAAGAAAAGCTCAGGAATGGTGTCCTTTCACCAGCACCAAAAA